AAGGACATCCAATGAGCACTAAATCTCCACAACAAACATCTTGTCAATCAAAAGTCAAAATTAGCCCAAAAGGTGGAATCAGGAAAAGTACTAATAGAAGAATTGCCGAGCGGATTCTTATGAGTGTGAAAAAAGGACATAGAGAAGTGGCACCATCAGATTCTAATTCTGGTGGATGTCTCTGGCCAAGGGACATGAAGCTTAGATCCGATACACGAAATGGACACAAGGATTCAGTTGCATCCCCACAACAGAATTCTCCAAGCACAAGAAGTTCTCGGAAGAAGGATGCGCCTCAAATGGAGAATAGTTTAGCTTCAGGGGAAGATCGTAATGATTCAACAGAGGAAACCAAGAACGAACATTCAGCAACAGATGGCCATGATAGTTTGATGATAGAAGATGTTGAGGATAATATATGCAGGCAAGAAAATAAATGTAGATCCTGGAAGGTGATTGAGCAAGGGCTTCTAGTGAAAGGTTTGGAGATTTTTGGAAGGAACAGGTTGGACCCTTCTCTTGATGACCATCTATATCAGTGGTTTCATTACCTTGCACTTGTTTATGTGTTGCTTACTACAGTATTATATGACCAGTCAGGTGATCTTTTGTGTGTGGCTTTACATAACCTGTAAACATTTTTCTGAACTGAGTAAAGGTTATGTGTGAATTGTTTTAAACTCTGCCACTCAGAAGACTTTGACTATGGTTCCTCACTGAGTAGACAATTCATTCCTTTACATACAGTATTCCCATCATTTCCTTTTGCATGCTGTTTCTCACCATCTTACAAGTGTGGATTACCAGGGATTGAAAAAATGCTGGGGGAGGAAATGTTTATGAACTTTCTTTGACTAAAAGTTGCGGCCATCCCCTCAAAACTATATATTACAGACATATTTTCCACTAATGACAATATCTTCATAGTGTCAAGGCATATACTACCTATATAAATGGTTAAAGTTTAAAATGTGAACTGCAAGGATTCCACCACCACTTATATTTTTAGGCATGATTTTTTTTCAAGGTGCAAAAAATACTCGTTTTTCCATGAAAATTGCGAGGGTATGACACTTTCATGTGTCTTTTGAATTGTTGCTGCTCACAGTGTGAGCACATTAATCTGGGATCCAAATCACTGCTCTCCTTTTATCATTATTATAGCCGTAAGTTTACTCTCTTTCCCAGAGTTAATAGCCACACTGAATTCATGGGTTTTCTTTCATGCAGTTGTTTAATTGCTCGGAACCTTCTCTGTGGAATGAAAACATGCAGCGATGTTTTTCAGTATATGAGTTATATTGAAAACAGCAGCGCATCTGGAACTCTTAGCAGGGGTGATTCTCTCGTCAAAGGATATATAAAGGTATGGTTCATTCTGCCCCTCTATGTTATTTTTTATTTTTCACCCAGCTAGTTTCTTATTTTAGTGCTGCCAATGTCAACATCTCAGGGACATGAGTTGCGTGTGAGATCACGGTTTATTAGAAGGCGAGGTAGAGTTCGTCGTTTGAAGTACACCTGGAAATCTGCAGGCTACCATTTTATAAGGAAAAGGATTACAGAAAGGAAGGATCAGCCTTGTCGGCAATATAACCCATGTGGTTGTCAATCATCATGTGGGAAACAGTGTCCATGTCTTGTAAATGGGACATGCTGTGAGAAATACTGTGGGTGAGTTGATTATTTTCCTTTACAACAACTTGCACTATTATAGCAAAAGTTCTACGCAACTAAAGTATATGTATTTTTGTGTCTGTTTTCTATGGAGTTCTTCTAGTTATTGACTATAACTGTTCTCTTCCACAGATTTACCTTTTCATTTGCTGGTATATATATTTTGCTTGGACTAATTCTGTTACATGTGAACTAAGAATGCTTGTCCTTCTGGACATTACTACAATTGCTCATGAAAAACTACTTTATATCTAGAGATATAGTTTGGTATCATATTCCATTGAATTGTTTAGTAGAATGATTGAATACCTCAGTTCTGAGTTGCTTTCCCTTTACTTGTTAGCATGCCTGGACTCTTTTTAGACAATATCGAAGCTAGTATTGGATTCAAAAATAGATTTTTAAAGATGCATAGTACATGGATTAACTCTCATTAGAGAATGAAATCAGACTAATTTATGTGGTCCTGGATACTTTGTTGTTATTGCTTAGTTTGAGAAATCTCAGTTGTGAATGGAATAAAAACTATAAAAACACATAAAAACAGACAAACAATTTTGTAACCTAATCCTGCTGTCATAATGTAGCAATTGGAGCGAGAAACTGAAAGTTTATTCCCTTTGCTTTTCAGGTGTCCGAAAATGTGCAAGAATCGTTTTCGAGGTTGTCATTGTGCAAAGAGCCAGTGTCGCAGTCGCCAGTGTCCATGCTTTGCTGCTGACAGGGAATGTGATCCTGACGTGTGCAGAAACTGTTGGGTAGGGTATGTATTTGCAAAATCTGATCAATCATTGAGCGGCTTTGTAGTTAATTGCATCACCAGGACCTGTGCATTTTGTTCTTTGCACTTTTACAATCTCACTTGTACCAGAGTTTCACAATGGGTGTTTTACCCAAACCCGTAAAGTTGCAAGGCACAATTTTATTAATGTTGAGTCATGGTTTGCAAACTGTTCAAGCTTGAAATGTTGTTGTCTCATCTTCAAGTATTGCAGAATAAATCATTGGTGCATTAAGCTGTTCCATTTCTAACCTACAGGTGTGGAGATGGTTCATTGGGAGTTCCCAACCAAAGAGGCGATAATTATGAATGCCGAAACATGAAGCTACTTCTTAAACAACAACAAAGGGTAAATTTTTTACACTTCAGCTTATCACATGTTGTGGACATCTTGGTTATATTTCTTCGAGTCGATACTTGATTTGATGATTTCTTTGGTTGGCAACTGTCATCTAACAGAATAAAGATAAGAACCACAGATTCTTTGTGTGCAGAACTGCAGGCTTAGATACCTGAACTGCTAGATGTGATTTAAACATGATTTAAGTGTCTACATCTCTTTGAGTTAGTTCTCATTACTGTCGAGCTGGTATTGATATAGCAATAATTTAAAACTTCTGAGCAACGACTCTTGTTTATGGTTAGTTCCGAGCCAGTTATGGACCAATTAGGATATGATTTTGATTTAAATTGGGCGCTCTCTTAAGAGATTATTTTTACCATCAATTTAAGCAGGGCACATCATTTTTCTTCTGAAATCAACGAAAAATAGAACAGGGCAATGCCAGCATTGCCACCCCTTATAAAAAACTAAAAAGTGCATTAATAGATATCGAGGCAACGATGTTGCCATTAGTTGTGATAATGACTATGAATTGCAAAACCGAATTGTTGTACACGACGGCCATTTTAATGTTCTCGTTGGACTTGATGTTGTGACACAACACATAAAATAGCTGGTAAAAGACATGCTTCTCGATAAAAGACTTGCTGTCCATTATAATGCCTGGGTTCTGTTTTGAACAAAATGTTCTGTTCATGGTATTGAATAGTCATTACTTTGTTTTCAGGTCTTACTTGGGAAATCTGATGTTTCTGGCTGGGGAGCATTTCTCAAGGTAAGATTGTTCCTTCCATCTTCTTCATCGCTCTTCCCCTTTAACTCATCTTATTTATCTTTTCCACAATCTTCAGAATACTGTTAGCAAGCATGAGTATCTTGGCGAGTACACTGGGGAGCTTATCTCTCACAAGGAAGCAGATAAGCGTGGAAAGATATATGATCGCGAGAATTCGTCCTTCCTTTTCAACCTGAATAATGAGGTGGGTGTACAATGTTACCATTTACAGTATTCTCAACATTCAGGGTTACAGTCTTCTCAACATTCAGGGTTACATGCTGGTCTGATCACTAGATATAGCTCATTTCTTTCAAGTTATTCTCCTTCCCAACTCTTCATTCAAAGCCCCCCTGCATTTTACATCTGATCCAATCGCCGTTGCCTTACTCTACTCTCTGAATGCAGTTTGTTCTGGATGCCTTCAGAATGGGAGACAAGCTTAAGTTTGCCAACCACTCCCCTGACCCGAATTGCTATGCCAAGGTCATCATGGTAGCAGGCGATCACAGGGTGGGCATATTTGCCAAAGAGCGGATCGGTTCAGGCGAGGAGATCTTCTATGATTACCGCTATGAGCCTGACCGAGCCCCTGTGTGGGCTCGAAAGCCCGACGCTCCCGGAGCGAAAGACCCCGGGCAGCCATCCAGCGGGCGGGCCAAGAAGCTCGCCCACTGAAGAGACACGAGTCATTGGTTGATTCTTTTGTTCAGGGCCAGAACTGGGTAGTTGTTAGCATGCTGTTGTACCTTAACCTGACATTCATTCCTTGGCCCATGACTGTTGTTGTAGTGTCAGAAGTTGAGAACCCCATTTGTGTCGGAACCTGTGGATGAAACATGGACGGTTTTTTCAACCGCTATGGTTGCTTCATGCCCAATGCAGCTGGGATGCCTTTGGTGGTGTGTTTGTTTGCCCTCTCAAAAGTTCTTGTATGTGTGTTTGTTTGCTGTAGCTGCATGGGTTGATCATGGTACCACAACTGTCCTGCGAGCGACTTGTTTGTTTGAGCAATGCCCAACGTTTTCGTTCGCAGACTCACTGGGGAAAACAGAAGATGCAACATACGAGGCTAAAATCACAATTCACAATATGCAAGCGCCACCCATCAAATATAGAACCAGCCTGAGAATCTTAATCATGTTAGTCATGGTCTAGATACAATTTGGTGACAACACAAAGAACTCAAGGTCAGATTGGAGAGATTGCCGAGGCCTCGCATTCCTCCTGCTCCAACTCAAGCAAGAAATGAAGCGCAATTTTGCTCTTGTTGAAAATTACACCTGACCGCGTTTCTCGGCCAAGGGTTCCTGGACTCCCTCCAGGGGTCCTGTTAATAGCTAATTAATGGCTACTCTTGTAGTTACAACTTACATGCTATATATAATTGCCTACGCCCAAAAGGTCACACTGCAATGGGATGCCTAATTAGTCCTAGACTCCACCCTCGGTAGAAAAGAAATCGCAGAGGACAGAATAGCCACTCCTCTCAAGAGCAGCATCACTGGAACCATGATCCCTCTATAACGGTTGACAAAAGATCCACGCCCGGCGGTTGGTAACTTGGTAGCAGCCATCTCCAAGGAAAATTTGTAAAGAAACACATCTAGCAGACCCTGGATGTTAAGAGCAACACAAAATCAGCATACAAGTTTCAGACGCAACATGGGGTTTGCCTCTTTGCGCATAGTAGGATTCGAAACCCTTGCTGACTCGGGATTCACATCTAGCTTATGTTGCTCAGGGTATTCAGGAAATGCAAGGGAGATACAAGCCTGGTCCTACCATCCTAGTTCTGCGCAGAGTGGCAGAAGCAATATGCTAGCCAAGCTGGTTTCATATGGTTCCATGGAAAACAAACATTACTGGAAAGAAAGTGTATACCTTGTGTCCTTTAGATGTTCTTCGCGCCACCGAAATTTGAATTAGGACGCACCGCGGCATATGCTGACAAATCCTGTTGGTCAAAAAACGTCTTACATTATGGGACGGAGGGAGTAGAAAATAGTACGGCATACTTGTTGATGTCGTGAAGTTTGCTCAGTTTAGTCTACAAAAGTACAGAGTCATGTATTGGTAATTACATTGGAGCTCCGGGTGGTCCATACATCTATATCCTCACCTTGCACTATCCTTGGGACCGTATGCTACTTTCTGTATTCCACCCATATACTTCCCTGTACCAATTTATTACAAGCTAGTATGTTTTGTACCATGGTACACGGACTTGTCCCACCAGCCACAAATCACCTGTTTTGTTCCAACCACCACACACCCGTACGCACTGTTCCTTTTCATCCCCACCACTCCCCTTCTCCAGAGTCAGACGCCATCTTGATCTAAAAACCTACACCTTCTTTGGCTCCAACCAAGGTCCATCACCATGTCTGCATCGTCATCACCAGGTCCAACCAAGGTCCCTCTGCTCTACATGGCTGGGTGGTCTGCACCAAGATATTACCTAATCTGCTTTGAAGAACCTGGATCCATCAGAATATGAGGGTGGGGAGCAGGATGGAGTTTGTTTCTAATGGAGGCAGTAACGAGGAAGATCAACAGTGATGGAGCTCTCGGGCAAGACCAGCCCTATATGGAGGATATTACTTCTGGGACAGGGATGGGCAACTTAGGCATTTCTTTGATTATTGTATCATAGATGACGGTATGTAAAAGTTTGGGAATTTATTTTTTTGAACGGTCACCGGGGGGGAGAGGATCCCCACCTGAATATATTGCTCAAAAAGCTGCCAAAGCCAAGAGTCACCCCTTAAGCTTTTGGCTGATCCAGTTTATAAGGAAAACCAGATCGAAAACCTAAACAACTTGACCCCGTTTATGAGGGAAACCGGGCCGAAAACCGTACAGTTAACAAGGTTACAGAAGATGAGAAGAAATTGCCACCTAGGAGAAGGCATGACCTAGCTAGCAAGCAGAAAGAACAACACCACGAGAGACAAGTAGATGTAGGGTGCTGTCGAGGGATCACAATACCAAAACTCTGCAAACAACCTAACGCACCGCACCGGTGTGCGTACCGAGCCCCACGGCACAACAGAGGATCAACCATAATCAACGAGTGCCAAACTAACACGAACCTTGACTGGGAGATCCGCCACGGGCAGTCGAAACGATTAGCAGGTCGGGGAGGCATCATTGCGTCGTCATTTAGCAAAGGTGAACCAAGAGAACACCAAGAGCCCGAAGCTCGCAACAGCACATCGGCAACCATGGGAGGGTCTTGAGCATGCACAGCAACAGGACGGAGACCACGCGAAGGACAGCCGAAGAGAAACACATGAAGAAGAACCACCACCGTCGTCCCCAAGTTTGGGAATTTAATTTTTCCTGTACTAAACGGTGATGCATTAATTGAGCATCCTTCCATCTATGATGTATTATTAAGTGGGTGTATGCATCTGGTATGTCACTTTGGAGTGAATTTTGTGGCATTTACTACAACAATCCTGAGGGATTACGTCCGGACCTGATTACGGCTTCTCCGACTCCTGTGAGCCAAAATCCGCGTCTGTCATGTACTTATGTATATTTCCCTCGAACAACATGTACTTATGTATAGAAGCATTGTTCAAATTTATTTGTTACAAAACTTCCATTTATGAGTTCCAAAGTGCTGTTTGGTAATAATGCTAATGCACAGTTGAATAACAGACAAAACAATTTTTGCTCAGGCCAATCTGCCAATCAGAATACCTGTGGTGCACAAACAGGCATTGTATTCGGATGCATGAAGATCTGGTTTGGTTGCATAGGAGTTGGAAAAACCTGAAAAACATGAACCATGCTGGTATGAGATCAGTTAAATCTTAAATGCCAGAAGGAAAGATAATATTTCGTACATATTTATGTGTACCTGATAGTAATATGATCTTCCAATGGTTGCATTACCATTTGCATCTTGTGCAGATTGAAACTGCTGCTCATTAGTTTGGGCGGTTAGTACTGGAGCAGCCGAGGAAGATGCCAGGGCTTGCTTTGCTTTTTCTGCACAGTGGCGTATTTTTTAATGCAAAAAGGATGTTTTAAAAGCACGAGGAGACTTGAGAGTTGTTACTTACTGGTGCTTGGTCCTTTAGGTATTTTTTTCTTCTTCTTCTCCCTTGTACTGGCATCTTTTGCAGATTGGGCGTGCAGACTTCTCATTTCGAAGAACACTTCAAGTGCCTTCTCTCCTGTTTCAAGGGAGTCCCAGAATATCTTTCTTGCTTCTTCCAGTTCCTGGCTCTTCAATGCAAGGTTATACGCATACTGCATTGCGCGATTGCGATACGCAAGTTCAGCCTCAGTACATTCTTGTTGTGTTGAATCTTCTTGATTGAGATTATACATGCTTCTCCTGGCATCTTTCGTCCAGCGTTTCAAGATGTACTTTTCAGGAACCATATCCACATTCTGCAGGCTGAAGGCTTTCAGAGCATGAGAACAAAGAAGGCCCATCCTTTCAAACTTTCTGCAACCACAAGAGATTTCCATTGTGGATGTATCAAGAAGAACGGTCCACATTTTTGAACCCCTGCCCTGCATTGTTATTTCAAACCTTAATAAGCTTCCACCACAGGAATTTTCATGACATGAAGTAGCTCCACATCCATCCAGAAATTCAGCCTCAAATAATTTGTACATCCTATGTGTATAAGATTCGGCAGCCTGCTTCAAAACTGTACTGTGCTTGATTGCACGAACTGGAGCAGTTTGGCTGCAGCGAAAATCCTCTTCCGACTCATTTCTACGTAGTGTTTTCACAACCTTTTCAACCAAGAGAGAAAATCTTGTTAGAGAAGTAGATTCATCAGCAATTCCAGTGAGGATATTGTTTGAGACCTCTCCCCACTGGGATGAGTTGATCCCACCATCAAAAGTATCTTCGTTAAATACCGAGCACCATCTGTTATGAAACTTATAAAGGCCATTAAGCCAATCATTATCCTGTAGTTTGTATTCATCAAGCATAGCATCCCAAGATTCCTGAAGCTCCATTTCTGTGTCACATCCTTGCATGCACTTCATAAACATATTTTGAAATGCTTGAGAAGTATTTACAGTACCTAAATGAGACTGTGCATTCTTCAGAATATGCCAGTAGGAGAAGCAATGCTGCGTGTTAGGAAACACCTGCTCGGCTGCCTGCATAATAGCCTCATCCTGGTCAGTGAAAATCGATTTTGGCGACTGGCCACCCATTGACTCCAAAAATGATTTAAATAGCCAAACATAGGAAGCTGTGGAGTCATCTAACAGGAATGCAAATCCAAAAACAACATTGTGCCAATGGTGGTTAACTCCAACAAAAGGGGCACATATCAGGCTATATTTATTTGTGCGGTAGGTTGTGTCAAATATAACAGCATCTCCAAAGCAGTCATAATCACTTCTACTTTTACCATCCCTGAAGAAGAAGTTAGTCATGCGGCCTTCTTGATCAACTTGGACATCCCAATAAAACATTCCTTCCTCGTTGGTTCTACGCTTGAAGTAGCTCACAAGACTTTGGCTGTCTCCTGCCCCAATTAGCGTTATATTCTGCACGTTGTCATGATTGTAGCAATCCCTTGTCGTGTAGCCTGGAGGCTCACTAATATCACCCACAGTCCTATCAGAGGAACCATTCATCGCATGCGATTCCGCAGATTCTGCTGGATCTATAACACCTGATTTTCCAACAGCAAATGACTTTGCGGATCTCAACAGATGCCTCTCCCCAGGTTTAGCCAACTGGTGATTGTGCAGGGGAACAAAGCGTATGACGGTCCAACGCCCTTTCTCATCGACTCTAAAGCGAACCATCGCCTTGCAATTCGTTCTTGTGTCCGGCCGGTTGAAATTCGCTTCCGTGACAGGCTCGTCGTATTTAAGCCCTTCCTTCGAGCAGTAGTAATCTTTTGTCCGGATGTCCCTGGTACCAATGAAGTAGGACTGCTTGCCCTTCCGGACACTAAAACCGATTCGATGTCCATAGTCGCAGTACAGCTTGTATGCCTCCTCCTCACTATGGACCATGCAACCGATAAGCTCCTCGGTCGCCTCCTTGCGGCTCAAGGCATTTCCATGGTCTTCCCCCTTCTTTCCTTCCTCACCATTTTTCCTCATTCGAAGCAATTCCTCCTGTGAGCCCGGTCTGGTATCCATTTCTACTCAAGCAGATGCACCGGCCTTCATGTGAACAGCATCAGGGACCGGATCTACATGGTAATTTGTGAAGGTCATTAGTAATAAGTTTGAGTTTGAGTAATCTAATCACCTGGATGTGTGAAAGCTCATACCTCAAAACCAAATGTGCGAGGCTGCGGACGGGGAGGAGATAGCAGGGCCGCCGTGAGGCAGAGCGGGAGCGGCAGTCGCGGGGGCGCGCGTGAGAGGAGGATGCGTCGGCGGAGGCGGTCACGCTAAGCTCCGGCGCACGGCGGCAGCTCTAGGGCACAGCGGGGTCGGGGTTGGAGCTTGGGTAGGCCAGAGCGCGCGCGAGATAGCTCGGGAGAGGAAGAGGAGATGCTGCGGGATGGCGGAGAGGAGAATCCTGGCTGCGGAGCTCACGGGCGACCGCCGGCGGGGCTCGCCGGAGCCCAGCGACGGGGGCGGGGGTTGGTCGTGCGGTGTAAGACCGAGATGGTGGAACGGGTCTAAGGAAAGCGCCGGCGGTGTTGCCTGGACCCGGTGTTGGAGTCCTGTAAGTGAACCGGGGTAAATGGGCCGGAGACGAGGTGTAGTGGGTGTGGCCGTATAAATGAAGCTCGTCTTTCGTGTTTAACGGAGACCTATCTGCCGCTGAATGCTGCAAGATAGTCGAGGTAGCGCACATGGCGCTCGTCAGCTGCTGTATCTTCCTCCGCTAAAAAAAACTAAAAAAAAACTGCCTGTGTCTTTCTTACTCACCACTACTCTTTTGGTTCTTCTGTACTTTCATGGATAGAAATGTTGAAGCGGATAGTTTAACGAAATTCTTTCTTTTTTAGATCTTGGTCGGCATGTTTGGCTAGTTGAGCCTTATGACATTTGTAAAAATTCCTATGAACCTCATTGATCAATAAAGTGCAACATAGTCCCCTTCTCGTTTGGTTTTTCCAATGATTTTCTTCTTCCTCCGCTCTCCTTTGGTTTTCTCATCAAACATGTATATTTATTAATTACATGAAGAAATGAGTGAATATTTTTTTATTTTCGAAAATTCATATGTTTTTTGAAAAATTACCATCATGTTGAAAGTGTTCGCCACGTATTTTACCAAAATGTTGATTATATTTTGAAAAACATTCACGTGAGAAAAAATGTTCATCATGTAAATGTATTCCTACTCCTTCTGTCTCAAAATAAGTGTCTCAACTTTGTACTAATTTTAGTATAATAATGCAAAGTTTCAATAAAGTTGAGACATTTATTTTAGGACGAAGGAAGTATTTTCACTAAAACAAATCGCAAGAAAAACAAAAGAAAATGAGAAACAATCGAAACCAGTTGTCAAACCCCTCTTGGTGGGCGGGCCCATCGGACACCCCCTATCATCATCTATGCAGCAAGAGTTTGCCGGAACCGGAATGGTACATATCTTGGGTCATCTGCAACCACCTTCATTGGAGTATAACCAAAGCAGCTATTTTTTTAAAATAATACATTTTTTTTATTAATTTACAAAAATAATACACGGTTTAGATATATTTCACAAATAATACGGTGTCAACTGAAACTAATCGTCTTACTGGTAGATGATTAGTGTCCAGTCGTCCTGAGAACAAGGCCTTCCAGTCGTCCTCCCTGAAGATGATTAGCTCCAGTCATCCTCCCTGAAGATGATTGGAACATAACCATGTTCCCGGGAACCCTTTCCCGCCAAACCTGCCTTTCCCGCCAACCCTTCTGTTCCCGCCACCGTCTTTCCCGCCGACCCTTATCTTCCGCCATCTTCTTTCCCGCCACCCCTTCTGTTCCCGTCCTCATTATCGTCAAAAGTACTTGTATCTTATTCTCAGCAGCCGCGTCACTGGGTTCGAGATAGTGTTGGGTTAGCACCGATTAAATAGAAACTTGTCCAACATCGTCTGAGATGGTTTGGGCATATTTGGCGTATGCCTCCAAAAGCCCACTGCATAACGGACGGATAAAGAATGTCAAGAGAGGTCGGGGTAGACCAAACTTAACATAAGAGGAGTCCGTAAAGAGAGATCTAATGGACTGTAATATTACCAAAGAACTAGCCATGAACAAGGATGCACAGAAGTTAGCTATTCCTGTGTCAGAACCTTGAGTTGGTTGTGAGATCATACAAGTTTCAGTTCTACCAACTCTAATTTGTTTGGGATTAAAGGCTTTGTTTTTTTCTGGCAGGGCTTTTCTTCTTTTTCTGTCAAAAAGTAGTTCGTCCAAAAAAATAGTTTGTTGGACGAACGGAACGAAGCAGAGTGAAGATATTCACACGATTCAGCTCATCTGAAGCACAAGACTGAAACATTGTTTTAGTTTGAGGCAAGACTGAAACATTGCTGAATGCCTGGATCCAGTTTCGTTGCTGTTAGTGGGCCTATACTGGAATCACTGCCTACATTAATTATCATGGGCCTTGTATAGCAAAACCTGCCAGTGCTCCAGTCTCATGTTATACTCATGTTAATATCACTCAACATTTCTTACAGAAAAATATATAGTGACCACACAGCAATAGTAGGAAAAAAACACTAGCTAGATTGCTGATACAAGAACCAGGCCACCAGAAAGCAAGAACCGGCCAGCCACCACCAATGCAACCTCCTACTGGGACACACTGGTCTTAAGAGGCAAAGCGCTTTCGACTTCAGCTTCCTTTGCTGCAGCGGACCGCTCCGCAACAGCCTTCGACATCCCGAACATCTGAGCGACACAAAGCAAGTGGCTTGATCATGAACATACCAAAGTTAAACAAGGCAGAACAACGAAAGTTCCGAGTTTCAGTGCCAGCGCAAATACCTTCTGGATGGTCTTCTTGAAGCAGGTCTTGTGCTCGTCCATGGAGGCATGGATGAACTCGTCAATGTGCTCTTTCACGTCTTCGAGGAAGGTGGCATCATCATCGGTTTTCTTCTTCCGGCACGACGACATGGTAGGGTTTTTAGGAGGAACAGGTGGCTGAGAACCTTCAGACTGTGCATTGCTGGAATCCATGTCGATACTGAAACAAACCAAGGGAGAAAAGGTTGATGTACATATTCCGAAGAGGAGACCAGGGTAATATGGACCTCGAAGCTAACTTCTGCATCACTGCAGCTAGTCTACACATTTAATCAGGGAAAGAAGAACAATATGCCGTTTGTCATACTTGACTACTGCAACCTTAAAACCAAAAAAGAACATTATCTACTTCACCAAACTGAAATTTAAGAGAGTGCAATATAGAAATCGCATGACAGCAGTAATCAACTTGAGGTGGGACTGACTCAGAAGGAACAGAGACAAATCTGTGATGCACAACTGAATCTGAAATAAAAGGGGAATACAGTGACCATAAGTTCGACATAATTCATTACTAGTAATTAGTAAGTACTCCTACTAAATAAGAAGCTAAAATGCACCGATACGGGTAGGCCAGATATGTAAATCTGCCATTTTCGAAAAGCGCCAATACAGGGATACGGTTTAATATTTTTTTATTCACAAAAAAAATGTATAGAAGCTAGGAACAGCAGATTGCCTTCTTGTGTTTTCTCTACTGTGGATGCCAAAGCAGCTCCAAGCCTCTCCAATTGACAATGTTGATGCCCTGTTCTGACTCCAAGAAGGGATAGAATTATACTTTTAGTAAGTGTAAAATGAATATGGAGCAGCAAGTCAAATCATTAGTTAGCTGTACATCTATCATGGCATAACACGAAAGGTGGAATCTTAAGAACAGTCAGCTAACATCCAAAAGGAGAACCAATCACTTTAATCAGCTAACATTTTAGGTCTGACTATTAAAATCAACAACACAGCATGACAGTACCACTATATTCCCAGTCATAAACAAGATTTGGGACATCTATGATGCCAACAATACCAGCAGTGCTAATGTGTAAACCAATTTCGTCCAGTATAATAACCAAGACAAAGCTCCTGCTCTCTCAAATTGCATTTACTCCTAAGCTTTGATTCAGATAAAACAACTTACTCTTTTCGTTTCTATATATCGTCATGCACTGCATGTTTCACTTCAACATGGCTAAACCAAAACATTTGATCATCTGAAATAAATTCAAACTACAATTTGTAAACATTTGCCCCTACAAGCATTATCACAAACACCTATCAAGCAAAATCCTTTCACATGTAAACTTGAACATGCGCTGGAAAAATCATGCGGCAAGTACTCATCTAGAAATAGTCATCATTATATTCTCACAATATCAAATCTACAGCAAGTACTCGTCCAATACAAAAATCAGGGAAAAAAAAAGAACAAACAGAGGATGCGAGAGGAAGGAGGGAGGGGGGAGGAAGGGAGAGGAAGGATGGAGGAGGAAGGACGAAAGAGCGGTGGCTACCTGCCTATGGTTTCGTCGCCGGCGTAGCTCCGGGCGGCGGCGTTGCTGCTTGGCTCCTGTACCGGCGGTGGGGCAGCGGAGGCTTCGGCCGGCTGTGGTTTCCGTTTCTTTCTCTCTGTTTTTTTTTACCGGAGTTTTCGTTTCTTTCTTGGAGGAAAGGGCAAGCGGCCGAAGTCTGTTCGAGATGGGAAAGGACGGGACGGAAGCCCAGAAGATATTTAGGCCATACGGGCAAAATGTTTACTGTTTGGGGCGATGGAATGAAATTGCGGCAGCCCACCGCATCGCTGCCAAAATGGACCTGTTAAAAATAATATTCAATTTTCTACTAATAAATAAGAGAAAATATTCATGTTTTTTTGAAGAATATCCATGTATTTTAAAATAGTATTCATGTATTTAAAAGGTGTCCACACTTTTTATATTTAACTAAAAAGTGTTTACTACTTTACTTATTGTAAGACATGTTCATCTAGCTAAAACAATGTTTGGCATTTTATGGAAATGTTTATGAAATTTAATAAAGTGTTTCCACCCTTTCTGAAAAAATCATGTAATTTTAGAAAGTGTTCACAGAAAATCATGTAACTAAAAAAGTTCATCTATTTTTTTAGAAAACAAATTTATGTAATCATTAAAGGTGTT